CACACACACACACACACACACACACACACACACACACACACACACACTTTTAGTGAAGTAAAAAGATCAGGCACAGACTAACTTTTAAAAGGCAGCCTCTGCCTAAACTTCACGTGCTGAGATTTACGGTAGCAAAATAAACAGCAGATTATCATCTCCTAAGGATGAAAGGAGCAGGTGCAGGCAGTGTGAGACAGACACCAAAGACACCTTCGGTTTTTCCAGTTTTTATTTTTTGTTTATTGCTCTCTTGTCTTTACGTCTAAAACACAAGACTTAAATAAACTGTATTCATTAAAAAAATACTTCATTGAATATCTTTGTGTTGATTCATTGGATATATATATATATATGTATGTAATATATATTTTAGAGTTTTTGTTGTTTTTTTAAAACAGGTTCTCATTTTGTAGCCATGGCTGGCCTCAAAGTCTACTCTGTAGATCATACTGGTCTCAGACTCACAGAGATCCACTTGCTTCTGCCTCCAAAGTGTTGGGATTAAAGGTTTATGTCACTATACCTAGCCATGGCCTGAGTTTTAAAAGAAAGGGAAAGGGGGCCTCTAGAAAAATACAGCAAGGACTATTTTGATTTTTTTAACATTTACTTAGTGTGTGCACATGTGTGCAAGCTGACATGCAGGCAGGCCTAAGTGTGCACATCCTACAGTACACTGGTGGAGGTCAGAGGACAATTTGTGGCAATTGCTTCTCTCCTTCTACTATGTGGGGCTCAAGTGTTGAACTCAATTCGGCTTAGCAGCAGGTCCCTTAACCTCCTGAGCCTAGATGGAAGTATTTCTGTTAGCTAAAATCTGTCTTATTCTGTCTTTTTTAAAAATAATTTATAAAGGCAAATAAAGTAAAACCTAGCTCGTCAAACCATGTAGGTTCTTTTGGTCTGTTGATTTGTAAGTAAAATGAATCCTTAATATACCAAGAATCATTTACTTCTCCTTCAACCATCTCCCCTGAATCTTACAAAATTCAAAAATCTGTCTTAAAAATCATCAGCCAGTTAGACCTGTCAATCCCAACAGCATTGTACCCTGGCACCTCTGCAGTGGAAACCCTTTTACAGATAGTTCAAATGTACTGACCAGGCCCCATGATGTTTCTTTCCTCACTCACATGAAATATAAGCAAATTAAGATGCTTCCATCTTTAAAACAGGCTAATAGATCCTCCCTGATTTTGAGATTCCCTTTTTCTTTTTTTTTTAATTGAAATATTTTTACTAAGTATTTATGGCATCAGCAACATTATGGCCCCGGCAACCAAGCAAGCTCCCTTATTGACAAATTCCTTCCACTCTAGTCTTTATGCTTCTTCCTAGACCTCTCAAAGCCCTTTGGTCTTTCTCCTCATGGCTCCCTGTATTGCATGCTCCCACGCCCTTCTATCTCACTCATCCTTCAAGAGCCTGGTGAAATATTTCTGTTACTGGGAAGAGTTACTTCACTTGTTACTTATTAGTATTGATTAAGCCAGCAAGTCTAAATAGAAATGTCCAGTCTTCGTCTGATACTTCCTGACTTCAGGCCCTTAATATTTATGGATTCATTATCATATGCATCACAATACATTGCGAAAGACTAAAAAGACTTTTGAATTAAATATAATTGTGCTGCCAGGTGTGAAGATGCATGCTCTTAGTCCCAATACTTGGAAGGCAGAGGCAGGAGAAATCTCTGAGTTCAGACCAGCCTGGTCTACAAATGAATTATAAGACAGCAGAGACCTTGTCTTGAAAAAAAAAAAAAATATATATATATATACTATTAAATAATTTTTATATTTTATATATTTTATACATTTATATATTTTCACATTTATATATCATACAAATATATTTTGTATAAATATGAATAAATAAATATATGTGGGGTGTGTGTCTGTGTGTATTTTCAATACATAGCTGGAAAAGAAAACAGCCTTAATTTTAACCACAAGGGAGAATATATGAATGAGTTATGAGCCACACAGTCTCATTTCCAGTCAGCTTTTTTTTTCATTCTGGTAGGATGAAAGTGTTTTCAGATAGGGAGAATGAAAATTGCAATAGAACCTCAGAGATTCCGAGGCAAAAAAATAGGGTTTTTTTGCTTCCCCCTTTACCCACTAGTTATTGACACAATGAGTGTTAGCACTCAGAACATGCTTTTCTACAGTATTTGGGTCAGAAAAAAAGGTGAAGATCACTGCTACTGAAGTTATGCTAGAAGCACTGTTTAATAATTTAGCTTGTTAACCTTAGCATTTTCAGTATTGTATGAAAAATTACTCTTAGCTGGTAAGAGCTCTCTCTACTTAGCTCTATGTTCATACTATTTTTATAACATATTTTATCATTTATATATACGTCCGGAATTAGTTTGGGGAGTTATGAATCTCCCCTTCTCACTTTTTAAGACAGGGTCTCATTATGTCACTGGCCTGGAACTCACTATGCAAGCCGGGCTGGCCTTGAACTCACAGGGAGATCTGCTGTCTCTGCTGGGATGGAAAGTGCACAGCACCATACCCAGCTGAGGCTGTGAATCTTGACTGACAACTTGTGGCAGAGCACCTAGATTTAAAAATGTACAGAAAAGGTTAACAAAGAGGGGAAGATGTCCTCTGCAAGTAGGTGGTGACATCTAGCACACCAGAGACCGAGATGGAATAAGACGGGAAAGAAGAGGACTAGTGAGTGTCGGCATTTTTTCCTCTCTGCATGCTGGCTTCTATGGTATGTGTGTTCTGCTGGGCCATATCCCTCCTGTCATAATGAATGGAGACTTATGATATCATGAGCAAAATAAACCCTTCCCTCAAGTATTTTGTCACACTGGTGAACAGTCTAACACAGAGGCCAACGAGATATAGAACACCAGTTCCCAAATCAGGTCAATCACAAGCCACTGCTAGCTTTAAAAGAAAGTAGGAATTCAGATAGAGCAATAAGCCTATTGTGCTAGTCAATTTAAAAAAATTATCTTACCATTACAAACTCAATATAGACAAGATTCAAGTCTAATTTTTCTTTTAAGATCATTTAACTGGTGCTGCAAGAGGAAGCTGCTGATTGATGCTTCACACTCATTTTCCACCCTTTCTAAGAAATAAAAACCTCTGCACTTTTCCAAAAAATCTTTCCAGGTAGGACTGGGAAGACTCAATGTGACTGGCAAAGCAGAAGAGAAGCAGAATTATTTCTTCTGTTGCCTTTGGTTTTTCCTACCAAAGAAAAGGCAGGAATGATTCATAAGCACCGGCGTTTCTATGGTAATGTGATGCGATGGTGCACTGTCTAATCGCTCCCTTCCCGGATGAGAACTAAGTAGCCAGGGGACATCCGTTCTGCTGGGTGCATCGTGTTAGGTCTGAGGTGGTCTGAACTCAGAAGCAATAAGCAGTCTTGGTGTTCACTGGTATTTGTGGAGGCTTCCGTGAGGTGGTGGTTTTGTAACTGTGGTGACTTCCTGATTGCATTGCCTTTATGTTCTTAGAGACCAACATTATTATCAGGTTCCTAATTTTTCAATTTGCCTCATGTTTGTAGAAATGGAGGCTTGATTCCGTAGAATCTTTGAGCATGGTTTCTGCCCGCCTCCTAAATCCATTGTTTTATTATTTCTTCTGTCAAATGCCTGATCATAAATTTTAATCTGAACTGATTACAAATTCTTGTTCTTTTTTTTAACTGATCTTAGATATATAGTCCTTCATTGTCTATAGACGCAGTGAAATTTTATTCTAACATCAGTACTGTCCCATAATGAGATTCCATTTTACTAATTTTAAAAAACTTTTAAGAAAAGTTTTTTCCTATTTCAGCTACATATCATTTCTGCCCCTGTACCTTTGCTGGAAGTTTTTCTTTGTATTTCCTCTTTTACACAATCTCTTATTTTTATGTACTACCTATAAAATAAAGTGGCATTTTATCATTTATGCTTTGATATGGTCATTTTGAATGAACAAATATTTAAAGGTGATCCAAACTTAGGTCGTAGTGTGCCATTCCCCCGAATCTGGAAGTAATCTACGTGCAAGGTGAGTTAGATCACACACACACAGTGAGTGTTGCCTTCACAGAATTCAAAATTAAGCTCTGTGAGGTACCACTGCTGTAAGTTAGGTAGATAAAGTGCTCCTGCCGGTTGGTTTTGATGATTTGCCGGGTTCCAGGTCTAGCACGTTTTCTACCTTTATGGCTCTCTAGGCTGTGAACTTGATGAGGGTCTCTAGAAACTAGAGGCATTCTTCCTGGTAGGCCCTGCTCTCCTCATTGTCTGGTGGGCTTCAGCATTTTGATGACAAAAGGGCAGTGGCTGTCCTCTGCTGTTCTGTCATCCTCAGTGTTTCTACAGACGTGACCTTTCTGAAAGTTTCACTTGGATTTTCAAGAGCTTCATACTCTGCTGGGGACAGAATATTTCCAACCGGATACAGGTCTTCAGGTCTGGAAGAAGGTGGAGGGAGTCAACTCGCAAGTTATGGTGGATGATGTCACCACTGACCCAAGCGTTTACACCTTCTCTGCATAGTGAGGTTCTCTGTGTCTTTAGCAGCTGGGAGACCCAAACATTCACTGCCAAAGTTGTTTATTCTCCTGTGGTTCTGAGATTCCTTCTGCTTGTTGGTTCCAAAGGCTTCAAAGCAGAACTCCAGTTTTGCTCTGGAAGTTTTGATATGACTGTCTAGAGTAGAATCACCCTCAACTGCTTCTTCAGCAAACAGCGTCTGCGTGTTGAACAATTCAACATCGTATACTTATATTTGGTCACGGGTCTTGTTCAAAATTCTCACAAAGCACAGTGTTGCATTTGAGGACAACAGTCCCAAAGCTATTTCAACACGGGAGAAAGCCTCTGTTTCAGTGGCCAGGATCGGCTGACTCCTCTTTGAGGTTTATCTACTCGTTGCTATTGTACAGTGTACAAATCGCCTGGATTCTGCCGGTTCTTCCCTTTGGAGAATAGGATTAATAAGTAATTAGCTCTGCTGCCCTCTGGCGGATCTGACTTGCAAGCGTGGCACACTTCGCCGCATTCCTGGGTTTAGCGCATCTGAAACGCCATCATTGTAAAATAATCTGCAACAACAACAACAATAAAAGATTTATTTACTTTATAGGCGTGAGTATCTTGTCTGCATGCATGCATGTACTTCATGTTCGTGTTTGGGTTCCAGCTGAGGCTAGAAGCTGAGGGCGTCAGGTCCTCTGCAACTGGAGTACAAAAGGCTGAGCTGTGTTCTGGGTGCTGGGAACCGAACTTTGCGCCTTTCTCAAGTACAGCAAGCGCTCCTGACCTCCTGGCCAGCGAGATATCGCTGCTCTCTCTCTGTCTCCGTTCCCCCCACCCCTCTCTGGCGTTCTCTTAGGAGAAATGAAGCTACAGGCTGCAACCACGTGACTCCAGGTGCTCCAGAAGTGGTAAAGGACAGTCCTCAGGACATCGCTTCACTTTATTTTTCTCGTTTTCCAATCTGGGCCATCACCTTGATTTTTTTCCTAAGACAGAAGCAGCCGCTTTCCCTTATTAAATCTATGTTCGCTCTGTTGGTATACATATATAATTTAGGCCGATTATTTTGTTTGCAATATTGCTTCAGAAATAATAATCTTGCATGCTTGAAAAGAGACAGAAGACATTATTATCATTAGCATTCTTAGAGATAAGGTATAGACGGGCTGGTTGCAGAGGGCGAATCTGCGTCGTGTAATCTGTTCAAAGCGCCTGTAACGTCTACCCCCAATCTTTCTTAGTATAACCTATTAATCCGTAATGTTACCGCATGGGCGTATTACACATTTTTTTTTCTCAAGAAGCAAGGGTGGTGCTGGAGACCTGCTTTCCAAAAACAAGCTGCGAACCGCGGCCGAAGGAGACAAAAGCGAGGAGAGCAGGGACGCTTCCCCAAACCAAGCGCAAGACCACAGGTTGGAGGACGGGCGAGAGGCGGGGCCACGAGCGGGAGGGTGGGACTACGGTCGGGGAGGCGCGGCGCTGGGCGGAAGGGCGGGGCGACCCGAGAAAGGCGGGCTGATAGGTGCGCGACGGCCGGGGGGCGGGGCGAGGGGCGGGGCTCTAAATTACCCAATAACGGCCAGCGTTCTAGCGGGCGCGCCGTGCCTCTCGCGCATGCGCGGCTTTTTTGAATTTTGTTTTTTTTTTTCCCCCACCCTTTACGCGGCTCGTAGCTGTTTGTTCACGGCCGGGTGTGAAGTCAGGGTCTGGCGGTTCCTGGGGACGCCCCGTCCCAGATGTAACCCTCGCCGGGCTCCCTACAACCGTCCCGGAGCCTTGGCCTGCTTCGGTTTGCCTCTCAGGCCCAGTGGGCGGGAAACATGGCCTCGTTCCATCTGGTAAGTGCGGGTGGCGGTCGGGCCTGCGCGGCCGCCCGGTGCGGGAGCCGTCGGGACGCCGCCTGTCAGGGGCGAGGAGCTGAAGATCCCGGCTTTACCGGAGGAACCGGACTGTTAGGCTCCAGGCTTCCCGTCAGCTCAGCAGTTTTTCCCCCTCTGAAGAGGTTGTTCCAGAGTCTACATTTCAGCCTTTTCCAAATTCTCCCGACTATCGTACACA